AGAGAGACAGAGAGAGAGAGAAAGGAGCTGCAAGGCAGTAACACTAAAGTGTACAAGTTAAAGGTATGAGACTGAAAAGAGACTTCCGAAACAGAATCTTAGGTTATAAAATTCAGCAAAAATTAGTTTATAAAAAACAGCACCTAGCACTGGAGTTCGAGGCACAATCTGTGCACAAAGACAGTGCCCTGAGCTCTCTTAATAAGAGCAGGGTTGTGTCCTTCCAGCTGGGCATCTCTGTAGTTCTTTACTGCACTCTGCCTTAGCATGTCAGAATCAGAGTACAGACTTTGGAGTTTAAAATACCTGAGCATCACCTGAGACATTGATTTATTAATTGAACCTAGACAATGCAGTACTTATCAAGTATTTATCCATCAACCCAGACAACAAACACATGGAAAGAAAGGGCCACTTTTTTTAGCAAGCGAAAGAATAGGCATTCTTATCTTCGCAAATTGTTGTATAAAGAATGCCCTTATTAACAACAAACAAACAAACATACAAACAAAAAAAAAATGGACAAACAAAACTAAATACAAACTAAAAAAAAATGGACAACAGAGCAAAAAATGTCTAGTGAACCACTTTGAGTAAAAAAGTGACTTCAGTCCTCCCTGTGACTGTAAAAAAAATATTCACATAAAACAGCTAAATGTTTTTTAGCTAGTCTACGAATGTGATTAATCCTCACTGAGACCCAGCTGTAAAAAGACAGGCTGCATACAGTGAGAAGGGAAGTCAATTCCAATGTGGCAACTCACAGGAACTGAAACTATGAGCTGGCTGGCTTAGCAAACACGTCATATACTCTTGCATTCAACCCATTCCTGAGGCCCGAGCAAATACAATGCCAGCATCTAGCTGAAAGCTGTCTTACTTAGCTGTTTCTGAAGCTTCCCTCAGCTCTTCATCCAGTCTGCGAGAGTAAAAGTTATTGATATAAAGAAACAAAGAAGCAAGCAGAGCGTAAGAGAAAAGCAGAGCAGTAGCACAGCAAAGAACAGATACTGTACATGCTTCTAAAACAGGGGCACGCTATTGTGCACGGACCTAAAGCTCTTCAGTTCAATACTAGTGTATTTATTCATGTTCTTAACCCACCTGTAATTTGTAACTCCTTGTTTAGCTTATTTGGAGGCAGAAATATGAAAGCAGCAGGGGTCTGAGGCATGCTCAGTGGAGAGAGCTGAAAGCATTTAGTTGCTCCATCAGATAGAACTAAATTAGCTGCAGCCTGAGCCAAGTCAAAGGCATTTAGAGTTTAGTTAGTTCTGCTCGCAAAGAAGGCTGATCTCAACAGCTTGAAGGGTTAAATAAGTCTGCAAAGGACTGCATGGCTTCTCTCATTCAGCTGTTGAGGTCACCTTCAGGAGGAAGGCTGCATCACAATATTTTATTCTACTATGAGCAGCAGTGCAGGTTGGAAARTAAATTTTACCTCATTCTTCTCTTAAAATACTTCTCTTCATCATACCTTACAAGGTAAGAGTAGGTGGAGAAAAAAAAAATTACATGTTCATATGAAAAAAACAGGCACACTATCTCACTTMAGCAAATACTATCAAACAACAACAAAAGCACTTCCAACTGTGCCATGAACCTATGTCCTTTCCACAAGCAAAATTCACTGTGACCATGGTGGTATTTTTGTTCTCTCTAGTGAAGCAATGCTAAAAGCTGCATTTTAATTTTGCTATAGGAATCTTTTACAATTTGAAGTGGATCTAAAACTACCAGCTGGAAAACATCTCTGCTCTGACTTCGCTCTCTTCTTTTTTTTTAACGCTGGAATATCCATTCTCAGTATCTTGAATGCAGACATCCACTGAGCCTTCAAACCATGACCATCCTGAAAAATCCTGCCATGAAGGGGCTTGTTATTTACCGTTGCATATTTGCTTCAGTGCAATCAAGGTCTGTCATCTAGCTGCTAATGACAAGAATAAGTATATCCCTAAAACCTCCTGAGCTTTAAGTCCTGAAGTTTCTTTGGTGCTGGAAACCTTTCACCTTTGGTGTGACAGGTGAATGGACTTTAAGAAGTTTTGATGCACAGGAAAGAAAAGACATCATAGGGTAACAATAAAACAAAGCAAGAATTAGAAAGAACAGAAAACACTACTGCTAAAGGACTGGGTTAAGATTCTTCTCAAAGGTAACTGGAATGTTTCAGGAACAAAAAGAGGAAGGGAAGAAGAAAGGGTTAAAGACTATTAGGAGTGTTAACATTCTAGACATCTTTCTTATCAGATACTATCTCTCACCCCACATCTTACTCTAAATCCTTTGCAGTCACTCTACCTATAAAATAATTTCAGAAGCAAATAAACTTGAGTGAAGCTCCCCATTTCAAGATGGCAATTTACTAATTTCACAAATGCTGCTACAGAATTGGGCTTCCCAATTGCTCTCTGAATTTACAGCACAAGACTTAATGTCAAAGGAACCACTAGCCTGAAGAAGGAAAGTGCTGCATCCATAACTACTATGGGMCAGACAACCTATCTGGGTTGAAGGGATCTGTGAGAGCTGGAAGGGAAATATTCTTTGTATCAAGTCACTATTGAACTGTAAGGAAAAGGTAAGCAGATACTTATCCACCCATCAAAACAGTTTCTTAAACTTTTTTTTTGTCTTTATTTAAAATTTAGCACATTTGACACATAGATGTAAAAAATAATGCATTCCTTGACAGCAAAAACTGACACTGTCTTTCAATTCTGATTATGAGCTAAATCATGAAAAATCAATGAGAGAAGAAATGGTGAATCTATGGAATTTCAGTGGATTTCTACTGAACTGCTTTCTTTTGAATTACTATTTCATTTCAAAGCTCTGTAGGAGCTAAAAAAAACTAAAAGCACAGTAAAACTTAGGGAAAAATAAGATATAAGGAATGTCTGTGGAAGGATTAAGGCTTCATTTTTTCCTTCAGATTTACAATCAGTGAAAGAACAGTCTTTTCCTATTCTGATTATATAGTCCTAAGAATGAGGACAGAGCTTTGAGCCTTAAAGTTTGACTTCATTTTTACCAACTGATCATGTACAAAACCTTCCTTTTCCTATAAACTTTGGTTCCCTTAGGATTTTTATTTGGTTTAATTTTCAATGACAGAATGTTTCCCTGCTTCAGATTTTGACAGTGGATTTCTTTCTGAAACAAAATGTGAGCATTTGCTACAAAATCTCATACAAGTATATAAATTTTCTTGCAAACTCTCAAATGCTACTATGTCTAAAAAGGACTTGCAAAGGAAAACCAGGCTGCATAAGTCTGGTAGAGAGCGTACTTAGACAGCGAAGACACTTGTCATCAGCACAAGCAGATCACTTACTTGACAATGCTCTCGGGTATGTGCACATATTCCATTGGAATCATCTCACGGAGCTCTGCCAGGGTGCTGACATACTGTATCTTACTGCTGAACTTAGAGCTGCAACACAGAAACAGCATGAGTAAATTGAATTTTCTCCCATGATTGCCAAAAATAAACAAAAAGAGACATTTACTTGTAATCTAAGCAGTTGCTTATTTATATTCCAATTATAGTTCTGGTCATCTCGAACGTGTCTGTGTTCTAGTGAGGGTGAAATCAGGCTTAGAGCTTTGGCAGTTCTCTGGCCAGGCTGCACTGCATCATAATATTTAGGACAGCATTATAAATTGTAATGCGTACACACTAGGGAAATGCAACTAGTTTTACAGTTTAAAGACAATATATTCAAATTCCAAAAATAACCYAATTCCCTGTAGCATATTACTTCAAGTGATTGTGATGAATTGGCATTTAGAATTGACTATGATTCCTCACCAGAYAGAATAGAGTTGAACTTCACTTCAGGTTCAAATAGATTTGACTGTGTATGTGCGTGTCTGTTCTTAGTGTTGGGTTGTACTGTGATAAAGTATATTCCTTGCTTAATCCAATTTGTGCTATATGATTATTCAGAAAATATRTTTAACAAGACTATTGCTTAATCTGAATCATCTGTTTAATCTCATTTATTGATATTTGTCTATTAGGGTTGTATCTTTTTACTTTGACTCCAAGCWATTCTACATGTTCACCTCTGATCATATTTAGACAGTCTTTTAACACTAGAAATGTGATGAATGCATATTGAGARTGAATATTTTTAAGCCTGGGCCTTGAAAAACACAATATACTGTTCCTATTTCCCATTGATTCAGGAGTATGATCAGACAACACAAAGCATCTGAAAGAGCTCTTAGCCAAAAGTTACTGCCACATTTCTTCTTAGTCAAATTTTTTTCCTCTTGGTGTTYCTCCTGGGTCCACCACCTCCACGACAGTGACTGATTGCAATCTATTTGCTTCATGTGGAAGTCCATGTACCACAATTCTAAATACATGCTTAAAATAAGAAGTCCTTGTTTCTTTCTAACTTTATGCAAGGCATGTTGCCACTTGTGTTGAATYTTCTATTGATTGAGCATCTCCACCAAATGCTGAAAATCTTTCACAGTACTTGTTTTACTAAAAATCTAATTTCATGCCTAACTCAGCTAAAAAGGTGTCTACCATGAATAASAGGTAAGTGATAAATGAATGATTTATCATAAATGAATGATTTACCATAAATGGTATGTAGGACCTGAATCCAACTCTTTCTATTTTTGCTGTCATTTTTTTTTTTTATTTCCCTTTTTCTAAGGCTCTTTGTCCTCAGTCAGGATTCAAATACTTCACACTCTCAACTCTTCTTCAACCCAAGTCACACTGGCCACATTTATGGCCCATCTTTTTACAGCTTCCATCTGTACTTCACTTTCTTTTACTTCCAACATATACTCAATCCACTTCTTGGCTGAAATAGAATTTTTAACTGGTCTTATTGTCTTAAATTTTGTACTTTTAATTCTCTTCATCGTTCATATGAATTTTTTTCCTCAGTTTGCCAATGTAGTGCTTGTGGCTACTGCTACTCATGAATTGATGCAGATGCTGCATCTTTGATTTTAATTTTACTGACCACCTTTTCTCTGTGAGGAAACAGGGTGACAACAGAATAACCTCAGATACTAAAAGCAACTGAGTCCCACAACAACTATTGCTAATTTTCACAACTGCATTCGAGTTATACTATTTTTCTTGGTTCTCATTTTCTGCTTGGTAATAGTCACCATATGAGAAACAATAACCTTTGTTATGATTTCTGCCTGTCACACTTTGGCAGTGACGGGAGAACTCGCTCATCTCCCCATGCCCAGATTCTCTGCCAGGATCCTCTCACTGACACCTTYGGGGCTCTTGTCTGTAGTCTGGGGCAGATTTCTCTGCAGTCTGTCAAGATGCATGTTATTCTCTGTGTAGCTGGTGTAGATGAGATGCATCTCCTCTTGCCTGCAGCAACTCTTTTTTGTACCTGCCACTCTACTCTCTCTGATGACAGGATTTCAAATGCATGCTTGTCTGTCTTCTTCAACAATCTACGAGGCCTTCGGTATCTGAAATACTTCTATTCTTGTTTACTGATCAAAGAAATATTCTTGGTGGTAGAATTTAGGGGGTGGAATTTGGTCTCTTAGGCCTTCACAGAGCTCAGGATGCTCGAAGTCTTCCTGGATRATCCGCATTTTTAGTTTTATTTTTTAAACATAATTGTAGCTTTAACTTGTCCTCTGGCCCCTAYTTTTTAAATAGGGTGATTTGTCCAGACTCCCCACATGCATTTTAGCTAAACTCAGAATAAACTAAGAGATTTTTAAAGCAATAAATTTCCAGTTCTGCATGCACATATAGGCATACAAAAACATGCCTGCAATGTATGCACTGTTTATTCCCTTTATTCATCATTCAACTTGTTTTCCAGCCCTAAAAGTGGGAAGACAACTGCAATTGTCAAAATCCCAGCAAGAACTGTAAAATGACAACCTTCTTGTTGGACATKAACAGCCATGTTTGATTATTTAGGAGCTTCACTATCTTTAGGGCCAATCAAACAAACAAAAAAACCCACACAATATTCACTGCATACCTTATRAAAGGTCGTGTCAGAGCCAGGATTGTCCTGATAAACCATGATGGATGGACAATAATAAATGATTTCAGGTTCTTCCTTAATCTAAGTCAAAAAGAAACCATTTCATTTAAAAACAAAACCAGACAAAACATATAGAAAGATCATATAATGTGAACAATGTCATACAACAGAGACAAAGAAATTCCTAACAGTTTAAATTAATGGCTGCAGATCTGAGGGGAAAACACTGCTCACCGTCGATCAATCATCTGGTAACATTTTTTCATCCAGCCAAGTCCTGGCATCCTCCTCCTTGGCGTTGCTCCATTCAAGTAGACAATCATATAGTCTTCCGCCACCATCAGTTCTAAGGTACTTATTACATACCTGAAAAATGAACAGAAGCAACTGAGCATATTTTCTTTTAATATAATCCATTTAAGCCTAATAAATGCAGCCCATTAGGCATACATCTATGCAAATTAAGGAATTTACCATAAGGCAATGTTTTCTTTTTGTTTCAACTGAAAGTAGATATTTACAACTGTTGACCATGCTTACCACACAACTATAAATAGAAAACCATAGCCTTATCTTCAGACACTAGGGTTTCCTTCCGAAAACTCAGTTTCACAATTAGTTTTCCAATCCCACAGGTGTTATTTTTTCTCTCTTAAACATGCTTAATCAAGAAATTTTACAAGGGAGTTCCCAGAATTTCTGAGATATAACCATTTATATTTAAGGGAAAAAAAAGTTATATAAAGATGTTATACAAAATGTGAAGAGATTTAATGATTTGCAGGTCTTCATACCCCTACAGGACTCAACAGAAAGGAGCTTACATATATTTTTACATATATAATATACATATACATCTCAATTACTGGCTATGTTGTAGATCRTCAAACTCCCTTTCAAAGCAATTAACAGGCTTACATATACAAGAAGGGGACATTTTCTTTTCCAGTTCCTATTGTGCTAGGGAGAATTATGAATCTCTTAAGTCTTAAAATAAGCTGAAGGTGCACAGCCRAAGTGAGCCACAGTGAGCTCTCTGTTCCACTACTCCAACAGAGAGTGGGATGTAAAATATACTTTGATGATATCCTTAATGGAAGCGGAAAAGCCTCTTAAAGCTCGAAATGGCTTCTTCTGCCAAGTTCAACTACCTACAATTCTGCCTTTGAAAAGGGGCCTTCAGTGAATTTGAAGAACAACTGTTTAATGTCAATCACAGTTATCGGCAGATTTGTTTGCTAGTTAAAAGCTAGCTAGTAGGTTAAAGCTACTGTAGGAATTCTTCCATTGCAAATCTCTGGGCATTGTGTAAATCCGGTACTGCAAATGACATGGGGGACTTAGAGACCTCTCTTTCAGACAAATGCTAGCGGTTGGTCTGACCTGAAAGAGAACTTTTTCACATGAACACACGGTGTTGAGCACTTCGGCTACCCTCAACTACATCTTTATGGGCTGGAATTCTGTGGGGCTTGTGCTCTTGCAGCAAGGTCTGGCACCTTGTACGTAGCAAATGGTGAAGGCCAGGCCTCCAGCAGCTTTGGGATTTTAGCATACGTGGTTCTGGAATGATTGATTTTTCAACAGCTGTAAGTGGAACTAGCTTCAGGCTGTTCAGGGCAGCTGCACAGTTTTTGGCTGCCAAGCTAGGTTGCTATTAGGAGTAATTTTGCTTGTTAAAAGCTGAAATAAATTTGGGTTCACTTGGCAAAATTGTGTCCAGCCCAACTTGTCTCTGCCATTTTTAGCAACTGATTTGGGAGCAGCTTAAGTCCAGAAAAGTACTTTAGCTGTTCCTAATCATCAAATGTTGGCTACTCTGCATTTTTAAAACAAGAGCCATAAAGTGCCCCTGTAGGTCCTAGAGCAACAGAATATATTCAAAATATAATACACAATGATACATCACAGCAATATATAATACACAATGACAACAAAAAACAATCCGGTGATCTAGGTCCCTGCTCACTGTCCTCAGCAAGTGCTGGGAACTGCTAGTGAAACAGTGCAATCATTGTAGGCCCACTAGTGCTGCAGATWGTATATCCCTTGTTGTTCAGGGTATTATTATAATCAGATTTGGTCCTGACAAGGACACCTTAATTTGGGGAGTGCAGGTACGTAAAAAATACCTGAAAAATGCTCCACTGAGGAGTTTACCCCAAATTGCTGTTTCCCTTCCCATTGAGATCACTCCCCTTCTAACGACCTATATTACCTCTTAGTTACAGGTTCTCTCTCACTACAGAATTATGAGTATTAACTTAAAAGACTGTCACATTGCTACATATCACTCACAGGAAAAGATTTTCCATGACATAGTTGTAATCAGTTCGACTGCTGTCTGGCAAGAAGCATGCAGYAAACACAATGATAGCATTCAGACCATCACCATAGTATCCTGTGGAGAAAACAAAAAAGGCATTTTTATTTTGTCAAAGGCTCTAAACAAGATAAATTTAAAAAGAAATGTCATGGTCATGGAATAGAGTGTATATGTCAATTTTGAAGAAGATAGAAAGCAAATAAACTATTATCAAGTGATAAGAGGTAGGTCACACTGTTTTGCCAAATTCCTGGAAAGCATGCTAAGCACTAACATGAATAAATTTTACAGTAGCTAGTGAGAAAACTCCTTCTTGTTAGTAACACAATCTTACATGAAGCCCTGGTTCATTGCATCTGTACAGTAAGCATGTGCTCAACAATCCCCCTAGTCTCAAGAACAAGTGGCTGAAGAAAATATCCTACACTTCATCTACAGCATCCTTTGAATAAGAATTTCCAAAGTTTCACCATCCAGTTTATCTGTACAGCTTTAAAGGCCTCACAATATAACAGTTATGACTGAACCCCACTATGCTTAAAGTCTCCTAGTAATTAGTTAAATTCCCTGCCACAAGCTTTGTGGAAAATACTTGTTAGCWGGGACAAGCTAGGACACTCCAATTGCCCAAAGCAGGTCTTCTATGGGGCGTCAGCAGGACACACCTGCAGCTGAAAAGCCCCAAAGCTGCTAGTGGACAGTACAGCAACTTAGGAGACATAACAGAAAGTGATAATATGCAAAGTTTATGATGTACTTAAACTGATCAGCCTTTTCCATAATATTTTACAATTCCTATGGGCTACTATGTTACTAATAATATATATAAAATATTTCTGAATTACAAGCGAAGGCTGGGATTTATTTAAAAGATATGAATAATCTTGAGGGAATTTGTAAAGATACTGTAGAAATGGCTGTATTGCAGGAGCACTAGTGATGCACAGYAATAGAGACACGGTATACTTAGGGAAGACCTGAAAGACAGAGGGCAGGGAGAAACTAACCTTGATGGAGTTTCTCCTTTCTTATTCAGCACCTAAACTAAGTCTTAGCTAGCTGGAATAAGATGTTTATGTTAAGCAAGTCTCTCTTTGCATTTTTAATGGCCACTATCTTTATGGTTTTGAAGAAATCTATTTTTAAAAGATTTCTAAAGCCCTGGAAAAGTGTGTCAAGACACCTAACCATGAAATATTTCACACTAAGGAGAGGCATAGTGGAGTAACCTCAACATAATCTCAAACAAAAGTGTAATGAAGAGAGGCTCTTCCTTCAGGGCACTCAGCTACTCCTACAAGGACATTAAACATCATTGCTTCCCTTTTTACAAAGAGCAGTCATAAAAAAGCATAAGCCTTAGAAAGAAAAATTTGTATGTCACATGTAATCCTTCTGCCTTRAGTCATATCACTTTAAATCAAGTCTTGGCAAAACTGCCTGCTGAAAGATGATATTGATCTTTTTCTGAATTTGATTTGGCAGATTTGACCAAATACAATGTATTCAATAAGCTGATGGTACATATTTATTTTACCAACATCAAATTATGAATGCTAGCCTAGACCTCATCCACTGTATTGTTTGGACACTGCAGGAGGTTACATATCCTTATCCTTAACTCCATCCTGCCCATGACGCTGGCATCTCCTGCCTTTCCAGCCCTGTGCAGTAGCTCCCAGAGTCCAGAAACCAGCTAATCTACAGAGAGGCTTCCAGAGCTATTGGGTCCAGCATATATGCTCTGTCTTCTGCAGTCTCATACTGGTGCCTTGCAACCCATTCTGTTGCAGGACGGGGACAGGCAGAAGAGCATAGGACTAGAGCCTGAGTTTGGGACAAGCAGCAATGTGAATACAATCAGACCAAGCCATGTAATGTGTGGGAGAGCTATCCCATGGTGTCGGAGAGCTTGGATGTTAGGAACAGCTAACAAGGAAAGTCTAAGGTACAGGTATGACTGACTGGCCCTGGTGTTCTAGAGAAGATCCTGTAGCTACGTTCAAAGAGCTGAACTGCATTCTCTAGCAGAAATGTGCATGAGGATGGGGGAAGAAACTCCTCCCACACTCACCACTTCATTTTATTCTCTGGTATAGTCGGTCTTATCAGTTAGACTTGTACATTACCAGAGAGATTGTGGTCAGTTCCCCTATCCCATCCTAGCTAACTGCTGAGCTAAATGATTATGGAATAAGACAGCAGTTTTTTCCTCTACTTTTCAAATAGGGAGGGGACTTCCATCATTATATAAAATTTTAAAGAGAAAGCCTTAAGAGATTTTCAGGACAACTAACACCATGCTGTCATAAGGCAGCCCTTCCAACTGGCTCAGGAGTTTGGCAGCAGAACCACACTGCAGCCAGCAGGTGTGTCCACAAACCTCACAGCCCACTTTGCATTTGTAAAACAAAATAATTATGCGCAGCTGCCACCCTTTCAACAGCACATACAAGAAAAATCAATCAATAGATCAATTTAAACTACCTTTTCACATACCTGCCTATAGACAAGGAATGTTCACCCAAGGGAGAAGTGCTTTTTAAACCATCACTAGAAGCTGTTAACAGACACGTGCCTAAATTCTGAGTCTGCACAAAGTGAGAGATCACTGAGAAATCTCTCCATTGACACATATGGAGGGAAACCTCACCCACGGATTGGCAAGCTTTACCTCTTCTCCTCTTTTCTGTTTTGTAGCTACTATCTAGATTCTGAAACAAACATTACCTACTATTTTGCAGGAACAAATGTTCAGTATATCACTGAATACTCAAGGGATAGCAGATCTGATTAAATAACTTACTTTAGACAAAATCTTTGCTTAATCTTTAGGTGATAGGAAATACTTTTGGCCCTCTAAAATGATCAAAAAATATTTAAGTATAGCCAAAGAGATCATCAACTGGTTGCAGAAGTTCTCCAAGTTTTCCTATGGCCTATACATTAAAATCATTGAATATCCACAACTGTAATGGAGAGCTCTGCCACTTCACAAGCATAAAAATTAATCCAGTCCTCTTTTCCTTCATATAGTTAAATTTCCAGAAAAATTTCAACCAGTGGAGATCAGATAAATTTCAACCAGTGGAAGCCTGGAATTTACTCTTACATTTTACAGTTTCTTTTACAATAGCTAAGTTATCAATCAAGAGTCATGTGAAGACAAAGGTAGTCTAATGTTCTTTATCTCAATTTTGAGTCATTCTTTATATTTTTTTTTCCCAGGGATTTATTGCACTTTCTTATCTAACAAAACAAGATGTCAGACAAACAAAAATCAAGCATACAATACACTCAAAAAGTAGCAAGTTAATACAAATGTTAGCACCATTGGTGCTAAATAAATGCCTCTGTATTTTGGCATGAGGTACTCTGGGAAGCAGGCAGTGCACAGAATGGGATTACTATAGACTCATTATTCCAAATGAAAAGGCTATGATTTCCAAAAGAAGTGCTAAGTGAGATAGTGCCACTTCTGTAAAGAGTAATGGTCATAAACCCTAGGAACAATCATTTATGTTTTGGTAATTTGACAGGTTCAACAACTTAATTTAATTATTTCATTCAAAAGAGGATAAATCATAAGAGCTGAATATGAACATTAAATCAGTACAGTTCACACCTCTGGCAACAGTCCTCATCACAGATACATTTTCATTAAAACTAAGCCCTTCTTTCTACCACACTGCTTAACCGAATTCATTCATAGACAACAGAGATATCGTAACAAGGAATCGGTTGCAGAAGCAGTGGTGAGTAGTATACTTATAGAGTACTTGCTTATCAGTCATGAAGACCTAAAACTGAATCCTGATTATTTCACACTGGGGGACMAATTGAGTGGCACACACTCCCATGGACTCTTACGTCCTTATCATTACCATCAGAGAGTCCTGAAGTTGGCACTGGAACCAATCCCTTTTCAATAGTCGAGTAGTGCTCATTGATTAAGAACTACATCTTCACCTACTTAAACTTACTGATACTCATTCTTCATAGTGAATAATGGTGTTACTATACATTTGAACTAATTTATATATAAATATCTTAGTAATCCCTGAAGCACACATTCTCTAAAGAAGTTAGAGAATAAGGCAATAAGACAGCAAAGAGATAAGCTAAGGACATAATATAAAAAGCATGAGAGACATCATTTTTTCTACTTCAAAATATATGTTATATTTGACACCATTTGATAATTATTAATAAATTACACAAAGCTACATGAAGTAACTGCTGGTGAAAGTCTACATGCTGATGATTATAAATGACAGAAAATAACTTAAGGAACTTAATTGCAGGAGCATGGAATGGAGGCCTCAAGGAAAACTACATTTTTTGTTTAGCTAGTCCTGTTTGGAACTGTGAAGCCCTGTGCAGCATGCACCACTTCACAGAGCACCATACTTCATCGTGCAGGAAGTTTTAGCGATAATCTAGAGCATGGAATTTTCAAGAACTCTTTCTATACAACAAAAGGGTTTTTTTCCTGCTCAAAAGAAGTTTATTACTTCTTTTAAAGAAGTTCTGCTCAAAAGAAGTTTATTACTAGATTATTACTAACACCTGTATCTTGGTTTACTTATTAACACTAAAACTCTATTGTATTCAAAGTATTCATTGCTCTTTGTTTTCCTGAACTGAAAACATGGTTGATTCATTTGTATTTTTCTTCTGCCATTTTACTTCAGATGGACTCAGTTTGCTTCACTAGTGTAATTAAAGACTTAACCGAGTGAGTGAGTTCAAATTAAGGCTTCCAAGAATAATTTAGCATGGCACTGAAGTTACAGATAACAGAATGGTCTATCTGTTAAGATTACAGTAAGTCTTCCATGTCAGCCATCACTTCTATAGGTACAGAAGCTATGACAGAAAAATACAGTTTATACCTACTGGCTGATCTCCTCCAACACTGGCTGATGTCCTCACAAAACAGAAAAGACTTGTCCTGACGCAAGGGCAAGTGGTGTTTTTCTGAATATTCCTCTATGAGGCTCCAGCAGATGACTCTGGCTTCTGTTCTTTTGAAGGTTTCTTAAGAGCCCTGTCTATCTTCTCAAAATATATCTTTTTAATTCAGGATCCTAYAAACACACTGAAAACATCTAAACTTGGGCTTATTATTAGGGCAATACCAGTAGTTTATTGGTACTCTTTCTACTGTGATATTCTCTTCTCTTCCTAATAGGTATAAATATGGGCTCTAAGATTCTATAATGTTTCTGTAATTACAGAGTCAGTCAACTCATTGCTTAGAGGCCTGTCTGAAAAATAAGCTCTCTTTCTCCCTATTAGTATGCTTACTAAAGCACGATTTTTCACTTCAGTCTAAAAAATGCACTCAGGGCCTTCATACCTCCATGTGAAATGACCTTTTTGTAGGGTTCAATGACTTTCATATCAATYCTTTGCTCTTGTTCTCCAATAACCACCGTTCTCCATAACCTATTGTCCTCTCTCTCCTCCTCAGCAGTGTATTCTGGAATTGATTCAGACTCCTCCTGGGAAGCATCCTTAATGCCTGTCTGGTGTTCTGAAAAATAAAATTGCATATATTAAATCTTCATGCAAATTCTCTGTATATTTTCCTGTTAAACACATTTTAAGTAAATAACTGAAAACAAGTGGCTTTTCAGAGCACTATTCTGGATCTTCACTGTTGCAAATAAGAGCAGAAAATGAACATGAAATGAGAAGACTTTTTTTTTTAAAGAAAAGATTATCATCATTATGAACATAATAACAACAGCAACATATATAGCCACGCAGAACACTACCCAAGGATTTTTGCTTTTTTCTGGCAATAAGATAAAACTCATAACCTTAGTAAAACCAGTTGGTTGCTGTCTTGTAGCTCTCTAACATCCTTTGTGCAATTAGTATGGCAAGTGTGCTAAAATGCAAATTATGGAGCTTAATGATCCCTATTGTCCAATGAGAGACTACCCACAACTACAACATTTCAACTCCTTTCTTCCTCCTCCAACTTCTGTTCTCTGATCCCTTCACATTTGGTACCAGCAAATGTGAAGAACATTCATGTTCAGCTGTTCCAGCCATAGGGTATGCTTAAAWATACCTTTGATATCTTAAGCACAGCATTCACCTCCCTGTGGGATTTCCAGTCATGTTTAAACATCAGTTCCTTTTCCGTTACAAAGCACAAGGCATTAACACAATTTGGCTGTTCCCATCAGCACATAAGGGAATGGGTCCACAACCTCAGTGACCACGATCAACAAACTGCATGTCTCTTAAAAGATTCTGCAGTGTCATAGTGCAGGCTCTCTGCTGGACACTCTTAGCTTGGAAAGGCTGTAAAGTATTAACAGAACCTGTGTTTTCCTTGCACACTGACGAGACAGCAGTTGCAACATGTTTTACTGCATTCCACTTTATCAAACTTAATGGCTGGGTACATAAGAAGTGTTATTAAGACTGATTCTTTCCACAGCATTACTTCATTTTCTTCTTTAGTTACTGAATAAAACAGCATTTCTCTTGCTGGAGCACCTTTGCCTTGTGGTTAAGTTCACACATTATTATATCTTGACTTTAAAGATTCTACACATTTCCTGTATTATATATATATGTTGAACAAGCAGTGAAACAATTTATTCTTTTATAGCAATACTCAGGATCTGCAAGAATAAAAGAGACTTCAATCATGAAATGAGCTAACATGTATCCATTGCATATATATGTGTGCATGGCATGCAAAAGAACGATATCCAATGTTTTGGTTAAAAATACCAAAGATAGCAGTAGAAAGAGTTGAGAATAAAAGAAAAAAGATTTCAAATTTGAAAAGAAGAACATAGTATGATGGTAAAGGTCCCCATTTTTTTTCTACTTAATTGCTTTATCCTGGGATTCCTCTGCTCTAATTAATGCTGCCTCTTGAATTATTTGCATAAACAGAGGAACATGATCAATAAAACATACAAATTTATCATACAGATTAAAATATTCATTAAAATATTCATGATTGAATATCATGAAAAAATTCATTCATTAAAATATTCATTTGTATGGAACCAGAAACGTATGTGTATATTGTATTATACATRGCCATCATGTACACATATGTGGACCGATTAGAATAAATCTCAGTGCAAAAGTACCAATATTTGCAATTAAATTCTCATGACTAACAAGCTCAATGGAATAAATGCATGCTTTGAACTTTTTTTTTTTTTAAATATGTATTAGGCTGAGCACATACTTGCATTTTCGTTAATATATCAAGGTCAAAAACACCTTCAAGCAACAGCCAAGCCTGAACAAGGAAAAATATTCGATTATCTCTAACACAATCTCAGAAAATGCCTGCAACTCTTATAAACAGCCAGAAATAGAAAACAGGAATGGGGAAGAGAAATGGGAGAGAAAACAAGTAGTTCTCTGACAACAGGTGGTCTAATGAGGTCTGGTTTTCACTGACCTCTGTCCTGTGGTTGTATGCTCCGCTCTTATTAAGCGGTAAATTCGGATGGAAATTCCCTTTCTCCCAGGTGAGTTATCTGTTGTGTAATAACAGCTGAATTTTCTTCTTTTCCTAATGCCTATCTGGAAACTCACAAGCATGTGTTTTTATCTCAGCTCCTACCAAATTTGATAGAAATTTGAGGCAGAGAGTTATAAACACAGTAATATCAAGATGTATTAATTAGCCTGTAAAGAACRGGCTAAGATGCATATACACATGAGTCTATGAAAAAGCCATATGAACCTTTATTTCCCTTAAGGAATGAMGATCAAGGGAAGATGGAGGAGACAGAAGATTATGAAGAACAGACTGCAAAAGGTGTATTTATTTCAAGTATACTAATTCAAATTGTTTTAACAGTTGCTGTTCAGTAGATTATGTAGTGTTATTAACTGAGGTATGTTCTCATATGTTCTCAGCATATAAGGCATATAATATTTAATAATATACTTGGTATTTATTTTTGAAATAGAACATGTTCAGTTATGTTTGCAATGACCTTATAAAATATATATTTTAAAATAAATATCTTAATACAATTTTGTGCAAGTTAATCTGGTAAAATACCATAAAAAGCATGAATATTTCGTGCAAGCAACTGAACTATGAAAACTTCAACAAGTTCTCAGAGAATCACTGTTCTTTTAAGTTCGTATGATCCTCAGAGTCCTCTTTTACACAGGTCAAATGCTTTCAGAACAGTTACAAGGTTTTGATAACAGGGGATTATTAGAACAGCCTAGGAAAATGGTGGTYAGCTGGTTCTTCCTTTGGGGGTTAAAGAGCACATTTGATGGGGGAAACAACAGCAGGCAGACCAGCTTTAGTGAAATGAGTCTGGGTTAGATAACTCTAAGACTATATTGCATATGGGGGGTTGTTACCCAAATTTGTTGGTGAAACTGCAAAAGATGTTCTAGAATACAGCCCTGAGAAAATTTATCATGTTGGAACCAGCCACAGGAAATATTTCTGAAGCTGACAAGGTRTGGAAATGATAGCAGGTCTCCTCCTCCTAAGTAGCAACTATGCTATACTGCTTGGATGCACTAGTGAAATTTGCATGGGAATTAAGCATCTGCAGATAAAATAAAGAGCGCTTTTTAAGCTGCAAATAAGGCTGGTGTGAGGGAGGAACTTTACATATATACACATACAGTTTTCAGTAAATATATTTTTTCTTGTCATGTAATGCATAATCGTGAAAAGCTCACTTCAGAAACACGAGCTGGTGGTGAAAGAGAATGTTTCAATTTGAGGGATTAGCGTAGGTCACATAGACAAAATTATAACTCTGAATGTGAAAATAGTTTAAGATAAGTACTCTAATATTTCCACTCTTAGGTATTTTCTTGCATATTATTGATGAAGAATCGTCACAAATGCATTTTTGAAAATTCAAGTTTCAGGGTGTTTTGATTTACAGAGTCATCATTCTTCCAGCGATGAGACTTTTGAATCATGGCACAAACCTTGCTTTTTGCAGTTTCTTTAAGACACAGACTTAAACAGTTGCTTTTTACAGTTCAAATGAACTTCTGTAGCCTGAAGGTCACAAGCTAAATAATCACCATTCTGTACAGTCTTGACAGCAATGTATTTACTTCACTGGGTGTGCTACAGCACTCCCGAAACACCAGCCGGTGCGARGTTATGAAATGCTTGTGCAATGGCAACAGGGGAGTGACGAAGTATGGAGATAACGCAGGCTAACTGACCAAGCACATAACCCCTTCTGCACTGAACTTGCAGTTCAAGAACACTTGTCCTTATGACTATCAGGTTCACGTAATATATTGCCTACTTACTTACTTTTTTTTTTCCACTTTTGTTGCTGGCTTATCTAAGATCCCTTGCCAACTAAGTGTGTTTCAAGAACAGTCTAAAACACAACTGTAAAAAATGTTACAGAAGATATGTGCACCTTGGATTTTGTGAAACTGGTCCAAATTTATCAATCAAATGAAATATCATATTTGTAAAGCAACAAAAACAGGCATGGTAARATGCTTGCCATTAATACCACCAAGTCACTAACGTCACTGGAGCTGAATTTATTTGCTTCAGGGCTTGGGGGCAAAAACCTGTTCCACTGCAGAGATTTTTGCTCTCACACAACAGTGATAACATTCTAAAATTGCAAGCACACCCTATTCTGTGTGTATGAGTGTACATGTGTGCACATTAGTTCTAACCTTTTCTACAAAACATTCCAACCATTTAGTAACTCATCATCATGCTCTGTATCTGCCCATAAGGAAYTCTGCCTTCTAATGAGAAGTGACATTAAAGATGCTTATGCATGACTGAGTACACAGTCATGTCTCTTTAGCAATATCATCTAAGCTGCTGCAATTGTTCCTGTATGCTCAAAAGATCATACATTTTTTAATTTATAATGGCCTCACTAGTAAGAGAGAATTTCATTAGCAGTACAGAATTTAAATGCAAGGGAAAATACAGTTTAAATATATCTATTTTTATGTTACTCCCTACTGTAGACTATAAAATGGTCACACTCATTTTTTCCCCACAAATGGCTTATAATCTATATATATTTACAGTCGTAAATACAATTCCTATCCAGTCTTTCAGTTGCTATCAAGGAAGGACTATTATTTCCTTGTTGCATTAATCATGAGGTTGAATTAGTCAAACAAAAATAACCTCAGGATTAAGATGCCAAACAAAGTAAAGCATCTGAGGTTCTTCCTACGTAAGACAAGTTGCATTCTTCAAGGTTTATCTGTACCAAGTAGGTAGGCCTGATAAGAAAGGATATTTAGTTTGGTAGAATGCTGCATTATTTCATTGCATAATCTGAACAAGCCAGTATAATGCCAGTATTATATACAGGCATAAATTCCACATCTCAGCCTTCCAACCCTATGCAGGCATAACAAAATACTTCTCAAGCTTTATCCAAGTTTATTTATTTCTAGCTCTTGGGTGCAATTTTTGTCATCATTATGAAAAAAATAATATACAAATAGCACCTGGACTTCATAAAATTACTAAACAGTATAAAACAACTAAATTCTGTTAACTTCAGAGCAAAATCTAGAGAAATAATGAGGAGAGATACTTTGCAATAAGATTTCAGTTATGCCCTTCTACTTGGTACAGAATTTTATCACAAAGTTCTGCTACTGTCATCACAACCTAGAGCTGGTCTCCAAAGATATATTGAGCTCTGGTATTCTCCACAAGTACTCCTTGGTCAGCCAGCACTCTTTCCTCAAAGATTCTTTGCAGGCAAGTCCTATGATTTCTACTGGACAGAGACTCTGAAGTTTGAATCTTTCTGAATGAAWCTTTCTTAATTTGTTCAATCAGAAGATCAGTTACACCTTTTTTTTATGTAGAAATATATATATGTTTTGTGAAGGGTAAAAAAGATTTAAAATAGCAGAAAATAAAAACATCTGAAAATCCCACATTTTAGATCAAAAATGTATTATCGATACTCATGGTATGGCAAATGTGAGCCTGAACAGCCAAGATCACATGAACAATATAAGATGAAATAGAGATGCTTCTTTCTAATGTCTATTTTACATAGAGAGATTAGAACATTACCTTGTCCACTGTATTCAAAAGAATCCGCTTCATCRGGAGTGTCAAGGTCATCTACGTTGATGTCAATTTCATCTGGGGTATCCAAATTATCATCAGAAAGTACCGATCCTTCACTGTGGTCCAAAGACAGATTGATATTTGGAGCTGTGAGCTTTATTCTTCTGGTATGGGAGATATTCAGATCAAGAGAATTGGGAGGTTCTGAAAAAGGAGGATTAAAAATGAACGTTATCTCTTCTGCATATCAGTCATCTCCCAAATACTTAGAAAACACCTTCAAATATACTGGAAGAGAGCAATTTTAGTAACAGCCAGGCATTTAAGGCAAACTGACACAAAACACAAGCATCACACATTAGCATTTAAAAAGGAAAAGGAACATCTACAGAAATAGCTGATTTAGCTGAAGGCTCTTAAATTATGCAGCATCCAGACTGCAGATTTTTATAATTGTCAGCAAAAAAAAAAAAAAAAAAAGCACTGCAAAAATGCTTTTGAAAAACAATATTTGAGTGTTTAAAGAGCATGTCATTTTAGCTTTGAAAAGGCACATTGCCAAATATGGGAGTAATTCATACAAGCGAAATATTCCTGCTAAGTATCATTTTTGTTGTGCATTTGCTGCTATTCCAGTGATGTTCATTTACAAGTAGGATTCTATGTCTTCAGTCTTAACTAGACCATATGATATTCAATACAATCATAAAAATAGYTTTGAGTTTCATAATTGGCCTTAAATAAAAGGAACCTTCAATAAAATAAAGGTTTGCCTTTGATGCTGTATTGCAGGCTGCCTTTTAAGCTGTTCTGCTCAATTAATGTGCTCTAATCTTAGTTCAGTTCACTAAGAAACAAAGACAGTAGTCAAATATAAGATAAGCAGGTCTACTTAAACATCACCAGAACCGAAGAAAAGTATGAAAACAATTCACAAGAGAAAAGAGATGGCACACTACAATTATCACTTTCAGATGAAGAATAGAATTAAAGCAAATTTACCACTTTTTCTTTTTTACGTGAATTCCTTAACAGCACAAAAGTATCTCACTGCATAATTAAATGCTAAAGGCAGAAGATATAATTAAAATAATGCATGCTTTCTTACCAGGTCTCATTTCTGTAGAATCTGGGCTTAATACACCCTCAACAAAGGGGATGTCCATTCCCACATCCTCCAGTGGCAATCTGAGAGGGTAAAAAAATAGCACAGTACCTTAGAGATAAATGAGTTAACTAGGTTCTCAAGATGACTCTTACATAGAATTTATTTTTTCCTCAACATACCTAGATTAAAAGTCTGGTCACAGATTAATATAAATGAGAACTGAACCCAGCTGCTGTAATTCTGTATGTAGTTCTTATCCTCTTATTTACACACATACCTATAGAGACCTTGGGGATCATGGGTCTCCAGAATAGGTTCACAGTGCCACTTGTCTTTGGATCAAGACAAAGCACTGAGTAATAAAAAGTTGGCAAAAGAAATGTTTCTCATTCAATACAAATTAAATTATCTTTTCAAATCTGGCAAATAGGGCACAAGATTGTAAGAAGTTTCAATTATTCTACACAAGCTGCATGCTGCAGTAATAGTTCTGTAGTAGTATTTTAATGGCTGTATATTTTTAATGGCTAGTACATTTTAACGGCTAGTTACTGCTTAGCAAAAACCAGATCATGAGACTTTTCATGCTTTTGACCTCATTGGTACTTTAGAGCTATTCTGACCCAAATCAGTCATTTTGCAATACTGAAAAAGTTGATGTCCTGCAGTGAAAAAGTGCAGGAAATGAGTGCTGGAAATGAGAATCAAAACTGAACTAAAGATTTTCAAAGGCTCAGTGCTGTAAAATACCCTACCTACATCACATGTTTAGGAGTATACTAAGAAATTACTTTAAGAATATATACACATTATGATAAATTAAAGATATTAAGATTATTAAAGATTACCAAAATGGTTGAGTATTCAAAGTAATTAAATTAATTACTCTAAATTGTAAAAATGAATCGACTTAAAACTCTTTCCATGCTTATTTCCTACTCAGATATTTTACAAAATGCTTATTGGGAGGAATGTTCAACATTAAACAGGAAGCAACTCCTCACAGGATGTGCTTGACTTTCAAAAATTATTAATCTTGCTAATTTCATTAGATTTATCCATAAGCACGGCAGAATACATCCTACACAGATACAAAGATTAGCTGCTGGATGATTTCTACAAAAAATACCAATCCTGGARTACATTTTCTGTCAAATAAGGCTTGCAATATTCTTTCTCTTTGGACACATGGTAAAAAAAATCAAAGCATGTTGCTCATAAATAAGATGAATGGCATAAATTGCCTGTAATTTACCACTTCATCTTCTGTGTTCAGAAGCTGTACAGAAAACTGATACAAAGAATATCATAGCAATTTACTAGGAAATGTAAACAAATCATTATAGTCTTCAAGTCTTTCTGCTGCCTATCCAATTCACAGCCAGATAAGCTATGAACTTATGAAGGAAAATATAAGAAACCATTGTGGTAGAAACCGTATGGGAGACAATGAACATTTCTAATGAATTTAAATCAAGACTTTACCTTGGCCTTTATTAAACTTTCTAACCGTAGAAATCTATATCTGATTTTTTTTTTCAGATTACAGAGGTTTAAGAATTCTAAGATGTTGATCTATGGCTGTTAAGGTATATGAATATTTTGGCCATATGGAAAAGGTTATTGATACTAACATATAAAGCATTAATTTACAAAATCTCCCCTAAATTCTTGACAAACCAAAAGTGAATTTCTTACTGAATTAGCTTCAAAAATCATTGTAGAAAGTAACTCTAATGGAAATGCTGTTTTCACACATTGCATTGAGAGTGAGCTATAGGCAGATGGTGAACACCAAATTCAGAAAAAATCTTGTTTCTTTAAATCTTAACAGTAAGGAATATTTGTACAAATGCATGTAAAAATAAGTTCTTTATTAAAAAGACACCATATTTTCATATGTCTGTAAAAACATTTGAATGTAACGAAGACTATCATCTTGTCTCCATGATTAGGGCATGACTGGGTTATACAAACATTGAGAGCATCATCTATAGAAGCAATCTGCTAGAAGTAATTCATTCAAAACTTTATACTGATTGCCTAGAATTTTACTAATACTCAGGACTGAATGATCCCAAATCTCAAGACTACTTTTCTCCCTGGGGCATCAGAGAACACAAGTAAATAAAAATCAGCATTTGTATGAGTAACCTAAAATTGTTTTTGATGGTTCAGTGTTTTTAATGTCAATATGTCATATCATTCAAACTGGGATATCTGATTTGGGAACTAGAGACTGTGGTCCTGAAAATGGTGGGGGGACCTGAAATGTGGTGTAGGGCATAAGGTAAGTCCAAGTCCAGTTACAAAATCACTGATGACCAAAGGTCATCTGCTGTATTTTCAACCACCTTCCAACAAGATGGTTTTTCAACAAGTATGCCTTTTGTTTTTGCTTAGAATACATTTATTGTTAAAAACAAACAAAACAGGACCTCATTTACTATAAGTCAATAGAATTTTAAGGACATAAGTTAGAGAACACAGATCTTCTGTTTAATAGTATTTTTCTAGAACTCTGGCACAGAGCCCAAACAGATTAAAGAAATACATATTTTGCTATGGTCAGTAAAAGTCCATAGTTTCTGAAAAACCGTTATTAACACTTGCTTAGTCATAAATTAATAGGCAACACCAACCTCTTTCAAAACTAGTGTTATGGAATAGCAGGCTCAGTCCATGGAAGGTATGGCTTATATTCCATTGTACCTCAACATGTGTTATCCCATGTGATGCTCCTCACACTACCACCAGTGTGAAAATGGGCAAGATATGCATAAAGTTTGTTTCCTAGAGCCACAACTCCCCATTTTGTGGGGGATTTTGTGAGTATGTTAATGCTGATCTGCAAAACATCTAGCAGATAAACTTATGTCTATGTATACATTGGGAGAGTATCTGGTTGCAACGGAGAGACGCCAGAAACTTAAATTAAGCATCTCCTCTTTTTTCACAGTCACTGATGACTTCCCATATTCCCAAAACTGTGGCTTACAGACTTCACTGCTTTTCACAGAGATGCAATTAATGMCATACATGATTAGGACATAGATGATTACACAATTAGAAACAGATACCACTTCTTTTGCCGAATGTTCCTTGCTGAAGGAGTGAATTAAACTACCTTCTTAGAAAGCCCATTCTAATCAGGTATGGTATGCTGGACTGATAAATAAGGAAGATATTTCACTTGAAAGAGAGGTCCAAGCAAAACAAGCTTTTTGTGTTGTAAATGACTTCTTTCATGTAGTACACAGACCAGCCATTCAAAGATCAGCTGAACTGAGAATCAGGTTACTGCATATTTGCTTTGATAATTCAGGTCTAAATACTTGTTCAGAAGYAGGCAAAAAAAAAAACCTCAAAAACAAAACAAAAAACCTCACTTATTTCTCAAAGGTGGTTCAGAACCAGATGCCAAGTTCTTATGAAAGGAGACAGAGCTCAGGCTCAAAGGCTGCTTGGCCTTTCATGATTCAGACATTCTTACAGTTCAGTGAATTAATAACCTTTATATACACTTTTTAGTGCTCTCCCAAGTCTGTAACTCTCAGAACTAACATGATCCTTTTTGACTTTTTCTAGATATAGCAGCATTCTGCTGTTTTGGAAAGAGCAACTCTGAGTATGCACTGCAATATGTCATAATCCCTATAGGCTGTGTGCTGCCTCACCCTTGTGTCATATGTGATATATCACCAGTTTCCAAGTTACATTTCTTATTACAAAACACAAAGCAAGTTGTGTTCTCCAGTGTGTCACTGAAGGAGCGCCTACCTACATCCTGCTGTGGAGGCTGACTCACCTCTCTGAGGTAAATCCCTCTGCTGCAAGCTAGCATTAACTCACGTAATGACCAGACTTGAGACTTCAATCTGAAGTGAAGCCTATAGCTTTAAACCATGTTTCCCAGATGAGTAAATTATGTATTTTCCATGCCTTTCCATGTCTCCATATCCAGCAGTATCTTTATGCTTCTTTTTTTCTCTCCTGTATTTTTTTAACACATGAAGGAATGAGAAGCATGAAATCACCTTAACTCAAATTAATGTGTGCTTTTCTTGGAAACTAAAYGGGAGGAGAGGAGATGAAGTAAACAAACATTCATTCAAAAACTAAGCATCTGCATTTTTTAATCTTTTCAGATTTGACAGATTACAGAAGTACACCATGGTATCAAATGAAATAAAAGGCTTGCCAATGGCCCATTTTCTCACTAGTTTGCAGTAAAAAAAATTGAGATGCTTTGAGGAAGAATGAGGGATGTGAAAATTTTAGGTACAAAAACTATGGGAACTTGAGTTGTTCTCCGTGAGTCACTCATATAGAACAGTCAAAACCACCTTCTCCAAGTACTTTTCTTTGGACTCCATCCTCATCCAGATTTCAAATGTAACAGAAGTGCCTTGCCCAGAAAAGGAGAAACCACAATTTGAGGCTCTGGGCAGGGCAGCACATACCTTGCCAGGAATTAAAAAGCTCTTGGCTTTGATCCAGTAACACCCATCAACTGAGCATCAGCAAGGCGCCCTGTAAGCACCCTTAGAACTGAAGGGAAGCCTTTCTGAAGGGAAGTGCTTAAGTGCTGCAGCAGGCTGTGGCCAGAGGTCTCAGCCTCTGTGCAAGCCAAGCTCAAACCTTTCAAATACCAGATGCAACCTGCTACAGTTCCTGATATCTCTAAGGGCACTGTGATGGCACTACCYTAAGGTAATGTTTAGGATACAAATTATAAAGCTGTTTTTTCTATATTTAGAATAAATACATATAAAAATAAAGATATATATAAACAAAGAAACAAACAAAAAACACCTCGAAAGTCCTAAAAATGAAACTTACAGCTATGCATGTAGCACTCCAGAAATCAGAATTTACATCAAGGAAGAGACTGACAAAATATTATTTCTTATTTACTACTCTGTTCTCCAGAATGGCATATTTTTGAAGACCTCTCCAAATAGCCGATTCTTGAGGAACTGTTTGCTGCTATCCACTTGATAGTTATTCCAACATTTACCTCAACTCAGAGCAGAAAAATCTATCCTATTACCATTACTAAACCCTTGTTACATGATTT